ATTATTACAAACTTAAATAAAATTTTCTTTATATATATATATGTATCCAAAGTTTTGAAATATTCGAATCGGTTTAGAATCTCTGTCATATATACACACATGAAGTCTATTATAAGTTTGAGAAATCTTATAAGTTTAACTTTAATCTTCTTTTAGATAATACCACGGAAGCAATTGATGAGTTTTGATGACAAAGTAAAGACACCTATCCATTTAGATAGGTGTTCTAAAAAGAATTTTTATAGGCTTTATTGTATAATTTTCTTGATTTATTCTACTTATTTTTTTTTATTAAAACTCAAATTTTAATTTTCCTCTTACTATGAGATTATATATTTGTTGATTTTTGTTATTTTATTAAAAATCAAATTTTAATTTTCCGCTCAATATGAGATTACATTTTCTAAATGTGAGAATAATTTTCAATTTAACTTGTTCAAATTTAGAAAGCAAAAATGCAGCAGAAACGCAGCTCTAAATTTAAGAATATCTTCTTGTTGCCTATTTAAGAATATTTTCCATGCATATTATTCTCACATTTAGAATATAATACACTCTTAAATTAAAAAAAAATTCTTGAATTAAGAACAATTTCTTATTTTAAGAAGGAAAAAAATTTAATTTTTAATTTTTTTAAAAATAAAATCCACGTATTTTGTTTTATATCAGTTAAAATTTAATATTCTTCAAATAAGAATAAAATTCGTCACATAGAAAAACCCGTAAACTGAAATTAAGAATATATTCTTGGCGCCTATTTAAGAATATTTTATACTTTAATTGAGTATATATTCTTATTTTAAGAATAATATATATACTGAATTTAAGTATAAAATATTTTTTAAATTCGCGCCAAGAATATATTCTTAATTTCAGTTTACGGGTTTTTCTGTGCAAATAAGAATAATATTTTTTGAATAAAAATAATATTCTTCATATTAAAATAATAATCTTCAAATAAAAATAATATTCTTGAAATAAGAATAATATTTTTATGAATTATATTTTTGCAATTTAAATTTAAGAATTATTTTTTATTTAAATACTATTTTTATTCTAACTGTATAAGAATAAAATTGTCAAATAATGTTTTCACATAGTTAATTAAAAATTATATAATCCTCGCAATAATCATAGAATATTGTATTTTGCGGTATGTTTGTTTTTATGCGGTCATTATACAATCATTTAATTACGAATTAGTTCCTATTTCAAACGCGTCTAGTCCACCAAATTCCCTTGTGATAAGCTCTAACCAACCATAATTCTTGAATTATTAAACGAGATTCATATATATATATATGTGTGTGTGTGTGTGCCTCTCGAGCATTTTCCTCTTAACTAGAGAAGCAGCACTTTAGAGTATACCCTGTAAAATCTAATGAAATATTACAATTTCTTAAATTGATAATCTCTCGAGCTCTATAATCGGTTATTGATATGTTAAAAAAATTAATTTCTATACAAAAATTTTTGACAAAAATTAATAGTATCACTAATTAAAATATAATTATAGAATTACAATTATCAGGTCAAATATATAATTGACCTTGAAATAAGAAACAATTTTTAAATTAAGAACAATTCTTATTTTAAGAATACTATTCTAATTTTAAAATTATTATTCTAGTCTAAAGAATATTATTCTGGTTTGAAGAATATTTTCAACATTAAAGAATATTATACTTATTTTAAGAATAGTGTTCTTATTTTGAAAATACATATTATTCCAATTTCAAAAATATTAATCTAGTTTCCAAAATATTTTTCTTATTTCAAGAATATTATTCTAATTTCACAATTGTTATTCTCATTTCAAAAATATCATTCTAATTTCAAAATTGTTATTCTAATTTTAAGAACATTATTTTAATTTCAAAAATATTAATCCAGTTTTAAGAATATTTTTTCTAATTTAAGAATATTATTCTACTTTCAATAATATTATTCTAATTTTAAAAATTTCAATTTTTATTATTCTTATTTTTTGACTCGATATTGTTCTTTTTTTTGCCTTCAATACCATACTGCCGTGTGATATAAGAACTTGGTTAACTGACATTTATGTCGAAGCGAGAAAATAGGGAAAAACTATTTGCTTTCAGAAAACTAATAAGAATTGTAAAATTATTAAATTTAACTTCACATACTTGGTATAATGATGGTGCTCTATTTAATTATGAAATAAAAAATTAATTATTTAAACAAATTATATGAAATAATGCACTTGTGTGTTTTTCCGAATGCAAATATGAAGTAAAAAGTTTGGGAAAGTCCTTTGCGTAGTGTCCACGAAATAGATACGCGAGCTCGGTCTGCTGATTTCATGGAAGAACTTAGCTAACTGCAGTGACGTCATGTGGTAAGGGGACAGTTGCAACAGTTCTATAATACGTTTTACGAATTCACAAATCATTTTAAAAGTACATGAACACTGCAAATAAATTTTCACCAAATAAGAACTAATTAGGCAATGTTAATTTTGAATAATGATAATAATAATATACGTTTAAACTACTGAAATAAAATGAACAATCTTTATTATTAAGTTTAAAAACATTAAAAAAAATCGTCTGAGTTAATTTTACTTACAATTTTCTTCGTTTTTTATTTCTCAATTTCAACTTGGATACACTTTTCATTCCGCTAAACATAACCTCTGAGTTGAAGTTTTGACAGAAGCAAGGGAAACAGCAGCTTACTGCCTGCGACCCGAGGACAATCCGAGTTTAGCCGAATTGCAGTTAAGTAGTCGTTCGGCTCTTACTCGACTCAATTTTTGATGGAAGAACTTAGCTAATTGCAAGCGCTGCAAATGTAAGGTTTTTATTTCAAATCCAACGCTCAGACTCGACTACTTATTTCATACAAAAAACACACAACTGCCTTTGACTAAGTTTCTCCTTGAAATCTTATATTCGAGCTCGCAGCCTCATTTGTTTTTTGGACTACGCAAAGTACTTTCCTTAACTTTTTATCAAATATTCTTTCATTTTCTGGAGTTTTTAAGATTTTTAATAACTATTTTTTATAAACAATAATTTGCAAAAATTATTTAAACTATAACTATTAGACGCAGCTTTTTCTTACGAGTTCATTGATACCAAAAACTCATTTTTCGTCAAAATGTCAGTTAACTAAGTTTTTATATCACACGGCAGCAAGTTTAAAAGTTTTTGTTTAACCCAACACAGTTTTTATGTTTAATTTTAATATATAGAAAATATTTTCTACTTTGGCTTAAAATTATTATTTGTTTGAATAATTATGTTTGATTCAAACATATTTTCTGTTTGGCTTAAACTGAAAATATGTTTAAAATTTTTATGTTTGATTTAAACATAAAAATTTATTATGAATAAATTGAAATCAACCATAATTTATGTTTAAATTAAATATATTTTCACATTGAATCAACCAGAGAATATATTTAATTTAAACATAAATATGTTTGACTGTATAACAAAGCTATTTTAAGTTTGGGTTAAACATATTATGTTTGAATCAAACATATCGTTTTCTCAGTGTAAATGTCTTTTAGTATAATTAATTTTCAATGAAAAATTTCCTTATTTTTTGACGTAATTTCAATAACCTTTTATTAGAATAAAGATTTTTAGAAAAATATTTATTAATAGAAAAAATAAGAATTTAAATTTCTGTATATGCGCAGAAAGATTTGAAACTATTGATTGTAAGACTTTTATATGAGAAATGAAAGGAATGATCAAGTTAACAAAACGTGCATAGGGTTCAAAGGAGTGACATAGAACTTGTAAAGTTAGAAATACATACTCTGAATATCTTATACCTATATATAGATGTATGGATATCGAGTTAGAAGTAGGCACTCAAAGTTCGAAACCAGACACACTAAGATTGAGAAGAGACGATATATGTTAGCTAGTATACGTAGAACAGGAAGTTGATGCACTATAGGGTATACATATGTACATTGAAAAATCGATATTCTAAATTTAAGAATATTATCCATGTATTTTGTATTCTTTTACAATATGGGAATATAATTTATATTCTTGAATTAACAAACAATTCTTATTTTAAATAATAGGTAATATTATATTCTTATTTTAAGATTATTCTTTTTTTTGAGAATATTACTCTTATTTTAAGAATATTATTCTAATTTTGAAAATATTATTATATTTTTACTGGACAGTACAACATAATATAGCTGGCTCATACGTAGATGTACAGCTGGGGTAGAAAACTACCCCAAAATTGTTTTGTTGATAGAATGTTTATATTTATCGCAAAATAATATTTAATTATAAGATATTTTCTTCGTTTTTTTATAAGGAAGAAGATAGCGCTTTTTGTTTTTTGATACAATTAAAAATATGATCAAAAAATTACAAAGACCAAAAAAACACAAAATTTTTAAAAAAGGACATTTTTTATAAAAAATAATGTGTCTTTTAAACAATTTTTTTTTAGAATTCCTGTGGATTTTTAAAGCTGAATAGATGTACTTGAAGGCCCAATAAGCGTTTTTTGAAATTAACACAGATCAACATAACCTCAAAAACCTGTCAGAACTAAAAAATTGTTTTTAACGCAAACAAAAATATAATAAATATTAATTTGAAACAATTTTAGAAGATCTAGATTTACTTCTTTCGAAAAAAATTATTTTTTTCCAAAATATTTTATCAATAATTATTTTTTTAACATTTAGTTTTTTTTCTTTTAAATCAGACAAAAATTGTAATTTTTAACCAATTTTTATAAACAAAAGCTCATTTTACTCAGTGAAACATTCTCTACAATTCTTACCTTTTTTTATATTGTAACAAGTATGTTCTTAAAAAGTTATAAACAATTAAAATTTTATTTATTAAATAACTTTTTAAGAACATACTTATTACAATATAAAAAAGGTAAAAATTGTAGAGAATGTTTCACTGAGTAAATTTTTTTTTATAAAAATTGGTTAAAAATTACAATTTTTGTCTGAATTAAAAGAAAATGTTAAATGAAAATTTGTCAAATTAAGGTTAGGGTGCCGCCATGACAGTTAAGCTTACAGAGCCAGGGCCGTAGTTTGAATTTTCTCTAGGGTACTGTTTTACCCCAGTTGTACTATCTGGAGTTAATTATAATTAATTAATTTATTGTTATTATTTTTTAATATGTTAATTTGTAATTAATTTCAATTATAACAGTTGAGCTTGTGAAATATGCACACTTTTTTCATAAATTTATAGTAAAAAATATTTATTATTTTATTATATTTATAATAATGTCAATAATTTAAATTTATTTAAAAAAATTGTAACTTTAAATTAACAAAATACATTGAGAATAAGAATTATGTATTAAATTATATAATGCATAAAACTTTTTTTCTTTTTATTCAATATTCATTTTGAGTTTTATATTTTGTCCTGGGAGAAAAGATGGTTTTTCTCTTCTGCATTCATGACGAATTTTAGATCCTTCAATTATTGCTATTGTACAGTAACCTGTAAAATAACCATTAAAAAGAAAAAATAATTTACTTATAAAAAATATTAACAGATTTCTGTGATATTATTAAAAATTTAATTTGTTGAGTTTACACGATTTTAGTAACGAAAAGATATGATAGAACATTTTTAATAATATCTCATGAATTCATCATGAAGATTTGAATTTTTTTTTTAAAATATTGAAGCTATCATTTCTGTTCTTATTTAACACAATTTTTTTTTTGAATTTTCCATACAGTTTTTATACAAAAAAGGAAAAAATTTTAGAATATAAAATATAAATGAGTAAATAAATAATTTTTTTCCAAATTTTCCAAGGTGATATAAACTGTTTACAAGGTTACAAAATAGTTTTTTTTTTTTTTTAAAGTTAACCGAATCTGAGAAAATTATATTTATATTATTAAAAATAATTTTCGATATTATTAAAATTATATGATAAATTAAGAAGCACTGAAATCATAAAAATAAATTTACCTAAGCCTGCTTGTGCTGGTGTAAAAACTTCAGACTTGAAATATTTGCACACCCAATATCTTTCAGTATCCTCTACAGGTCTCATACATTTTTCTATAAAATAAATTATTAAAATTTTGAAAATTAAAAATTAAAATTTAAAAAAAAAGTTTTTAAAATAGTAATATGTTGTTTTTATTCTAAACATACCAATCTCTGAATTATTTGTAGTCATGTAAGTGAATCCTTCTGATGGTTTAGATTCACAATTATTCGAAAAGAAACACAAAATTAACACAAATATTAAACAACGCATTTTATTTTTTATTTTAATAATAATATATATATCGTGTAAATATAATATAAGTATAGGAAAACTTGTAGTTTCTCTAACTATTTTTTTTCTTGTAATCATTTTATATACCTTAATTCCTTATCTTTATTGATAAGATATAACCAATTGTATATGAAATATTCTTAATATTTACTATTTTAATCTAATACAATGTAGAAAAATATTGTCGGCACAATAATTCTGAATAGGATAATTTAAATCAATTATATTGTATGGTATATAATTTTATGATAGTTTTTCATTGATGACATTTGTAAAAATTGTTATACAATAGTTTCATTCAATACTACAATAGCTAGCTCTCAGGTATAAATAATTTAATGTCAACACAGGTGCTTCAAAGAAAAGTGAAAAGATTCCGCAATTGTTAAAGAAAACATAAAAGAATTATGCATATATTTGGATTTCGAATTTCATAATTATAAATTCAAAAAAAAACGAATTAACTGTGTTAGATAAATTTTAATTAAAATAAATTAAAATCTGAATAATTTTTATATATTTTATATATGTGAGGCTTTACAAGAAATGGGACCTTATGGTAAAGAAATTTCAGGTTATGTTTATAGTAATAGGGTTGACCTCCATGAAGTTGGCGTCGACGCTCAGCGCCGAAAATTGTATTTACAGTACCAAAAATGTCAAATTATTTCTTTAAAAAATATTTTCGGTCCAAATAATACATTGAGAAATACTTTTCAAGGTATTATTTGGACCGAAAATATTTTTTACAAAATAATTTGACACTTTTGGTCCTGTAAAAATAATTTTCAACGCTGAGCGTCGACGCCAACTTCAGGGAGCTGATAATTTTACGTTAATAAACATAACCTAAATTTTTTTTACCACAGGGTCCCTTTTCTCCTGGAGCGTAATGTATTTTTTTAAATATAAGTTTTGAAACATTTTAATTTCGTCAAAGTTTTGTTAAAAAAGTTTCGTTTTTTTTTTAAATAAAAATTATTGTGAAAAACAAATTTAAAAAAAATGTTGTTTGTAAAAATTTTTAGAGTAATTGAATCTCATTTTTTTTTCTTAAAATTCAAAATGGTGGATCCAATATGTCGATAAAAAAAAAAAATATTTGTAACTGATCGGATTTTCTTGAAACTTGTTACTTTTAGGGATTTTTGAAGTCGATAAATAAAAAATTCAATAATGAATTTACAAGATATCAAATTGGAGACGGCCAATTTGAAATTGATTTTACATTGAATTTGAATTTCACGATTGTAATAAATTCTAAGTGAAAAGTTTTAAGAGAATCAAGTAAATTTAAAGAAATTTTGACATGAACATTTTTAATTTTTTTAAATTAATATCAAATTCACATTTTTCAAAAAAAAAAAAATTTATATTAATCAATTTGAATTATTATTATTAATTTTATTTATTTTTATTATTATTCGATGTATGATTTTTTCGACTTTTCTCGTAAAAGTACATAAACATATAAAACATTTTTGTTTTTTAGATCAAAAATTGCAACAGTTAAATAGTCTAAGTTTTTTATTGTAATTTACTCGTAAAAGCTACTCTAAAGTACAAAATTTTAAATTTCAAAAAATTTCAAATTAAAAAAAAATTGTAAAAACTAAGAATTTTCTTTGGAAGTTTTCATTTTTTTTTTTTTTAAATCAATTTTAATTAGGTTGTCTACTTTTTTTACACGTAAAAATACACAAGAATTTTACTTTTTAAGTGAAATATTTATTTTAAATTTAAATTATATAAGTTAAAGAAGCAAATCATTTGTTTCAAATATGTTTATTTTTCAGAAGAAATAAAATTACAAAAAATCAATTTTAATTCAAGTTATTTAAATTTTTATAAAAATTTTCTCCTAAAAATACACAAAAATACAGAGAATTTTTGTTTATTTTTAAATAAATATTTGTAAAAGCTAAAATTTTTTGAATTTTTTCATTTTTCGAAAAAAATTACAAATTAATTTTAATACTGTATTGGTATATTTTTATTACAATTTACTCGCAAAAATGAAATAGAACGTAGTATTCATTTTAAGTTTTTAGTTTAAAAATTTTAAAAACAAAAAAAACTGTTTTTTTCGAAAATTTTAATTTTTTTTTGTCGAAAAAATAACTAAAAAAATGTATCCCAATAAGTCGATACAATATTATATTCTATGGTGTTAGAACGATCGTCGTTTTGGCCAAATTCATCACTAATCATCCCGAGTGGCCGATTTTGTCCAACAACATAAAAAGGTTCTTCCTCTCTGCACACATGACGAATTTTAGGTCCATCAATGATTATCATTGTTGTACAGTAATCTGGATAAAATCAAAAATAGTTGGAAATCATGTAATAACAAGATATTCATATTCTCATCCCGTTTATTTATGGAGCACTCTATTTGAATAATTTTTTTTGACTGGAACATTTTTTTTCCAAATTCTTATGAAAAATAAGAAAATACGTTTTTTTATTATTTAATTTGATAAAAATATGATTGGAAAATATAATTTTTTTAAATTTAGCGTCATCAGAAGTGGAGTTAGTTTTGAAACATGTTTTTTATGATACTAAAATAATATTATATATTATAAAATTATAAATTTTTTCGTAATATACATAATATAATTCCTGACTTAAGAATTTTTTAATTTTATAACTAAATAACAAAAAAATCAAAAATTGATCACTTGAATTTTTATAAAAGTCAATTTTTACTTTTTAGATTTAATTTAAATTTTTTGGATGCTTCCGTTGTAGTTACGTTATTTTTTATTCACATGGAATGCCCCTTATATAATAATAATGTACCTAAGGCTGCTTTTACTGGAGTAATAACTTTAGATGGGAAATATCTGCACACCCAATATGTTTCGGTATCCTCCACAGGTCTAATACATTTTTCTATAAAATAAATTATTAACATTTTAAAAATTTTAAACTAATTCCAAATTTAAAAAAAAATTTTAAAACAGTGTTTTAATTTTTTTCTTAACATACCAATTCCTAAATTATCAATAGGCATAGTGGAAAGTGTTTCAGACGGTCTACATTCACAATAATTAGAAAAGATACTCCAAATCAGCAGAAGAACAATACAATGCATTTTAATGTTTTTTAAAATTTAATTAATTTAACTAATTGAAAACATAAAAAATTATTTATTTATTTTTTTTAATTATTAATTTATTAGACTATTAATTTATTAATAATTAATTCATTAATTATTATTTTTAATAGTAGATAGAAAAATTAGAAAATTTCTACTTTTTTGAACTATTTTCTTTTCTCCATCTTTTTTATATATACCTTTATTTCTTATCTTTCTAGATAAGATAACAATTGTTCAATAATTTTGTAATAGTTGTTCATTATAATGTCATTTACAAGCATTATTACATAATTTCATTAATTTGAATACAATAGATAACTTTTATAAACATATATACATAAATTAAAATCACACACAGGTGCTGCGGGTGAACAAAACAATTTTGTCGAAACTAAAATCAATTAAAATTCACACATGGAACTTTTATAAATTTTTAAGTTTTGCGACAAATTTTTATTTGAAAATTCTCTCGCTATAAATTGATTCTCTATTATCATTCTTCTTTTTTTTTTTACAATTTTCAGTTCTTATTATTAAAAACTATGTCAAGAAGGGTAACAAAAGTTTAGTAAAAAAACATGATTAGTTTTACTGTTGTCTTGCAAGTTTTTTTTTATATGAAAAGAAAAAATTCAGTTTTTTTGCTTAAAAAGTTGATTTTCTCAAAAAAAAAACGGCTAGATTAAAAATTTTCTTTTTTTTTTGCAAAAATTATTTATAAATGTAAATTATATTATTAATAAATAATAATAATTATTATTAAAAAATTATTATTATTATTATTATTCATAATTATTATATAATTATTATTCAATAAGTATTATTAATAAATTATAATAATTTCAATATTAAATTACATGGAAGCAATAAATACAAATCTGCTAAAATTTAACTTTCAATTTAAATTTAAATTAATTAAGTCTTCAAATAAACTTTTTTTCTCATTCATCAACCCCATTTCTCGTTTTCTTCAAATCAATGCAAAATTTAATTATAGCAGTGTTCATAATGCTCGTTTTAAGTCAGATGTTATTGATTCGTAACATTATTCAATAGAATGCATATATATATATATATATATATATATATAACAGTTAATGAATAGGGTGTAGGTAACATACATTTATATATTAATATCATTTACAATAATAAGAAAAATACATTCCAAAAAATCTGAAAAAATTACAATTTTTCCGTCAAATTTTTAAAATTCTATTAAAACTATACTTTTTTCAAACCTAGTCACAGATTTACTTTAAAAAAAAGTTTTATATTAAAAAAATATTAGTAACTTACTTTTTTACACTTTTCTTTATTAATAAACGTATCCAAAATTTTTCTAATTTTCTTGAAAAAATTGATTTTCTTTTTTTTTTAAATTTGGAGAAAATGTTTCATTATCAACCACAATATGTTGTAAAAATTTTCAGAATCCCTTATAGTGCTAAAAATTTTTATTTCAATTTAGGTACAAATTTTAATTTTGATAATTCAACATTTTTACCTAAATATCTTCTTTATACCACTAAAATAGTTTCTAAAAATTTAATTACATATTAAAAATACCAATGGCGAAAAATTGGATTCAATTTAGGTGCAAATATCAATCTAAAAATCTCTGTTCTTGGAAGTAAAAATGTTTTTAAAATTTTTTTTAAAAAAATTTTTAAAAATGTAAAAAAATTTTAATCCAAATTAAGGAAAATTTTTCTCAAAATTCAATGAAAATTTAATTGATTTTTTCAGAAACAGAATTTTTTAATTCCAAAAAAAAGGGAAAATTCTCACGATTATTATAGAAAGAAATATACGATGCTAAAAATAAAAAGAACACCTTTATGTTGATAATTTTTTTTTCGATGTGTTAAAAAAATATTAGAATGTTATCGGATGTTTAATGATTGCTGTTATAATTCCAATAAAACTCTATTCTTTTATATACTACTTGACTCATTGTTTTCAAAGGCTTTTTGTGTGCTCGTGTGTGTTTTCAAAAAAAAAAAAAAAAAAAAAGAAAAAAAATGGTGCAACCATACGTTTTTTAGTGATGTCCGACAAATAGAAAAAAACAAGTGATTTATATCTATCGCTGCTGAATTGAAAAAAAAACAAGTAAATACAAATTCCTTTCTTGCATGATGATTTTTATATATAAAAATTAAAATTCTTCGCAAAAAAAAGAAAACATTCAGCATCGAATGATATAAAACGCGCGATACTGCAAAAATAAAGATCCAGGGTTCAATTGTACCGACAAATGCAGGATTATAAAAAAAAATAAAACTTAGGAAAACTATTTTTTTCATTTTCTATTTAATATGTTATTATTATGTATATATAAAAATTTCTATATATATAGGTGTACATGCAAGATGTGTGTAAATTAAAAAAAGAATGACATGCATTTATTTGTCTATATTTAAAATTTTTCTGAATTTAACGGTACGTCCCTGTAGCAAGCGCGGCGAGTAGATGAACAATTTTTTCTGATGACATTAATAAACGTACATTTTTACATTTTTTAAGACCCGGAAAATACGGAAGCGGCGGATCTACAGAGGAAACTAGAGATGCTGAACAACACTGTGGATCAAGAGGCAAGAGCGGAACAGGCACGTCGACAGATATTATACAATACAGGGCATTGTAAGTATGTCAACTTACACCTAAATAGCTTTTATTCCTTTTGTCATTCCTCTTCACTTGCGCTGAACAATTGCTCGCTTCTTGGCTTTTACTCTTTTACATCGCATTTTCACTATTGTCTTTCTACCATTCTTCAATTATTCCACAAAAAGAAGCTCACACAAATCATTTATATCAATTATATCATTTCACTTTACCAGACAGAGAGTGAAAAACTTTCAAACTGTGTATAATTCAATTTTTTTATGTTCTAAAATATGATTTGTTTAATAAATTTTATTTTTTTAATTTAATATTATATGTGACATTGAATAATGTTTTTTATGAAATAAAAAAAGTTGATATTTTTATTTATTCTTTTTACATTTGTGGATTCAAATATATTCTAATTATTGCATAATATTACCTTAGCCTAATCACAATTCTTAACCTAACAAATATTCTTTTCAAATTTTCGCGCCTTATTTCTTGCTGAATTATGGCGCACTCTTAACCTTTTTGGCTGCCTGCCTGCAGGTTACCATGGCAACGTACAAGTGTGAGTGAGAAAGAAAATTTCGATATTTAAATTTTCTGTCGTACTCACTCTCATGCGTTGCCATGGTAACCTGCACGCAGGCAAAAAGGTGTGAGAGCACCTTTATACTTGGCACCATTTTTCTCTTTACTCAATATTTCAGAAATCTACCTTACCCAATTACATTCTTCCACTATTACTTTTCAACAAATGAAAGTTTTTTTTAATTTTCTATTTATTACCCTACCGGAAGTATCGTACTGAATTGGTACTGATGGAAATTGGAACTAAGAATTCAGTACCAATTTGGTGCATTTTGGTACTGAAATGGAACTGGGAAATTTACTTGCAAAAAGGGTCGATTTACTATTAATATTATCATAAAACTGAAAAGCGAATGGCTTTTTCAATATGTTTAAATTTATTATTTTATATATATTTCAACATTATATTTGTTTTTAATTTAAAACTGATGTCCATTTATTGTCAAACTTAAGGTATACGAGATAAATTATAACTTTTGTAAATGTATAAATATTTTATGCTAAATTTTAGATATTCATAATCTGGAAAAACAAACGAATCTCTATATGAGAGATTCTTTTTCACTCACCCCAGCCCAAAAAGTCAATGTTCTGGGATTGGCTTCATACTTTGGTAAATTGTTGTCCTATATGATAGTAATAAATCCTTAAAATATAAACTCATTAAAAAAATATTTGTCGAAAGTAGAGGGGGTTGAAGTTTTGACGTTAAGGGTACTCTCTAAATTTGAATCAGCGATAAGTATACCACTGGCACCAATCAGCGGATATACGCTGAAAAATCAGTGAAATTCCACAAATTCATCAGTGCATATAAGCTGATTGGAATCAGTGGTATACTTATAGCTGAGAATCAGCGAGATTCCGCTGATTCAAAATTTAGAGAGTAACATTGTCATTTTCAAATCCGTATAACTATGACAAAAGTTAATGGATTTTAATTTATCCATAATGAATTTTAATGCATTTTTCACGTACTTTTCAAAAATGTATACGAAATTAAAAAAAAAAATTTTGACCCCTTTTTTTCAAAATCAACCCTTATTTTTCGATTTTCACCCCTTCGGGTATTTTTTTTTTATTTTCATTGGAAAGCTGAGGTTTTTTCCCATGAGCTATGTAAATATGAAAGAGGGACAACAATAATTTTGTGAGAAACAAAATATTAAAGTACGCGGTGCCGATAACGGGTATACCTGGAGATCATCTTCGAGGATTTACCTTCGTTGCGCACTGATTTCGGAAGTGTTTCTCCAATGTACTTTTCACGTTATCATGTAAATGATATTTTTTCTACGTTAAAGCCTAATTTAGATTTATTCTTTGCTTCTAGCACCGACTTTATAAAAACTTTAAATTTATACTTAGATAGATTAGATTTATAATTTTTTTGTATTAAAATTGTAGTTGCCCATTAATGGTCCTTTAGGACTGCGGGTGTTGGTGTTTAAATAAATAAATAAATAAATAATGCTATTCATCCGGCTATTCTTTTCTCCGTACTGTTCTGCAGGCCATAGGCACTTCTGCCTCTTCCTTCATCTGGATTAATGGCATAATATCTGTAAATAAATAAAGAAATTTAATACATTTAGTTACGGTACAAAGTATGATGCTTAGAACCACACTCGCTTAGAGTATAGACGATGCGCATCCTAGTGACGAGGGAACCACGGTCTTTCTCTACCGTCTGTGCGTTTGCCATCTCAGAGCGTGATTTTTCCATCATGCGCAGTTCGAAATCGCTATTTTATTGTAAATCTAAAAAATTCCTATTTTTTTTACAAATTGTCAAAATAATGAATTTATGTTTTTTAAAAATATTTTTTATATTCAATTTGATAAAAACTGTAAAATTGAAAAAAGTTAATAAGGTGTAACGAAATTTTGCAAAATTGTCGTGTAATTATTTTGTTTTATCGAAGGTCAATAATTACGTTACTGACGAATGAAAAATCGATGTAGTACTCATTTACGACACGCACGCAGCATGTACGGTCCCTACCAAAGTCCGCGCATGCGTTCCACCGAACCGATCGTCTTTAAGAGTCGCGCACCAGGTAAAAATCGTCACTCCTCGAAGCGGTCTTACCACATCAGTATTGCCTAAAAAGTAGTGTTACTATACGTAGTAGGGGAGCCCAATGTGTTTTCGGGATTAACTCGAGCGCGGCAGATGTACATAGGGGGATACCTTGCATGTTGTTGAGTAACTCTTCCAAGTATTAACTCTTTTTATCAAGACGTGCGTCTAGGATAGCCCATCAGATTAGTAAAAAAAATCGATAGTTGGAGAAATTAAAGAGTGTCAGATTAAGGTAAGGTGGGTTAATTACTAGCTAAAAAATGTACATTTAAAAAATCTGACAATTTGAACGTAACGTAAGGCAGCGGGAGGGTTACAAATTTGCAGAAAAAAACGTTGTCTTGACATTCTCGAGCGCGGTTAAATTTTTTTTAATTTGAAAGAAATAACACAAGAATCATGAATAAAATATAATCTGACGATTTCCAAAAGGCAAAGTAATGAAAATGAAATGAAAATCGTTTTGGACTATCATGACTGCAGCATCAAGCAGAACCATCTGTATGAAAATCTAAGGCTGCTCGCATAAGAAAATACCTTTGGTATTAGAGACACGTTGGAGTATAAAAACTATTAATATCTGATACGCTCAAGTATTTTCATGTAATTGTCTTTTTTACATTTTGAAATTTTGTATACGCATAATGCACACTACTGAAAGGGAAAACTTTATAGAACCTTTTATTTGCCATATTATCTAAACTACAAAATATCATTGTCCTGACGACGCTCAAGTAAATCTCCATTTAGCATCATGGTCTCTCCTACGAAAGACCATGTAGATGTAAAGGTGGTTTTACCGACAATAAGAGGTTTTACCTCATAAGCAGTCTTACTGTATAAAGTGGTTTTTACCACGCGTAAAATATCAGCGAGATGTGATCACTGGCGTAGAAGGCAACTAAAAATGGTGTCGCTACCGTACTTTAGCATAGGGAACAACGTGTAATGTTTTCTTTACTCGATCGTTATTTAATTGTTATTTTCCGTCAATCAATTACGTTCATCCGTTTATCACATAACAATCATTACAAAAGGTAGCAATAGATATTTTGTTTAAAGAATAACAAATTTTAAAGAAAGTCGTGTTTTTAATAGCAGTTTTGTAAGTAGTCGCACAATTTTTGATCGGTATAGTCTATTAATTTTGTTAATATTATTAAATTGCATTAATTTTGTTTTGTCAAGGTTAATGAGATGACAGTAGGAGTAATACTCTCATCTATTTTCTTCAACTTTAGAATTTTGAAGTTCATTTTGATTAAAATGGAGTTTTAGAATTTATTGAGTAAGATGATATGTCAACGTCTAAAACTTTGATAAAGTTTTTCAAGCGTGGAGAATTTATGTCTTAGCGGCATAAATTGAACACTGAACTTCATATATATGTATATGCACACTTTTGAGTATATCCTAGTCATATAAGAAATTATTGTTTGCGACATTCATTTAATTATAGTTATTAATTGAACTTAATAATAATTTATCATGGGTATGGAAAAATTATCGATAATTTTTTTTTGTATTAATATTTTTTTAATTAATAATTAATTTTTGTAATAATACTGTTTAATTAAAATTAATTATCTTATATTTATTAAAAGAAAAATATTTTTTTTAACTTAACAAAAAAACTTGCTGCTGAATTTAATTTTACTAATTTGTCTTTTATAATTTCTTATTAAATATCTGATTTTTCAGCGGGTTATTCAGAGGATTCAGACTACACGTCAGATTTAAATTATCCTGTGGGTGGTCAAGGTGCAAACAGTTCTGCATCACAATTTCGAGCTGCTGCAAATCAACTAGCAACGCCGCAACGATCACTTGAAACTTCTCGTGAAAATAGCTACGAAAGAGATGACCATCAGGTAAATAATAACAAATATTGTGGATATTAATTCTCTTACTATTTTTCTTCTTTTTTTTATATTAAAGAATTAAACAGTTTTTTTCAGTCTCCATTGTAAGTATATTATAATATTTTACCTACACAGGAAAATTTAATTTTCTTCAATAAATTATTCACAACTATAAATGTTTATTAAAATATAATCATAAAATTCTTATACCCTATTTGTATAAAATTAAAATTTTTTAAAAATAAATATTAACTTATTACAACTAATAACATTTTCCCTAAGGCTTTCGATTTAGCTAATGAAAGTTGATAAAATCAATAATTATCGTTGAAACTAAGATGGTAAACCAATTAATTTAAAACAATTATAAATTGGAGCATAAATATTGTTAAATCCAAAATTTTGCATTAATTTCTTATTTTAATGAAAATATTAATAATTTAATTATGAACAGGAAATTTTATACTTAAGCAGAAAAATATTTTATGAATCATATTATAATAGCTTATATAATTCTGTCCATAATGTAGGTAAATGAAAATTGGAATTTGAGACTAAATTAAAAACTTATGTTTTTAGATTCCTGGAATAGTGGGTGGACGATTAGCTCCTGGTTACAGTGGTTACAGTAGAGGTCATAGTCCGAGGTACGATGAACCTTATCCTGAGGAAGGTCCTCCTCAAAGGTATTCTTCTCAACAAATCGCAGATTTGTCTTCCGAGCCACTATTTTACAATAGCAGACCAAGACATTATAAAGAATACAGGTAATCAAAAATATAATTTTTCATCTTGAATATTACCAGAAATTTTTTGCAATATTTCTCAAAAATAGATTAGTCAATATTTTATGTTCGAAAAGTAGTTTATAAATTAAGTAGAAGAATAAATACAAAAACAATCGAACAAATGATAATAAAAAATATGCTCCAACGCTTCTAAATTTCATTAAAAAAAATAATAATAAAAACTTAGATTTCAATTAATTAACAAAATTGTAGGAAGTATATTGTAATGTCATTTTATAAAAACATCTCTAACGTTGGAGAAACAGAGTTTGGAGTCAGAATCTAGAATATTTATTCTTCTACACAATTCATAAATAGATATTTATAAATTTTTTTAAAATAAAAAATGATGGTTTGAATGAAAAAGAAAAATTAAGATTACTTATTATAAATACAGAGTTTTTTTTATAATTGGAAATTTCAAAATTTGCTTAAAAAATAGAACAAAGAAAATACCGTATCATTTTTTTATGATTCAGACGAAGGAAGCACACGTGGGATTATGAAGACAGGTACGCGGCGAGAAAAATCACGGGAGTCTCGTGAGAAATTCTGTTTTTTCTTTTGCAGTACAATGTCATTTCATCTTTCTTATCTTATCTTATATATATATATATATATATATTTAGTTTACAATTCGTTATATAATGGGTTTCATTAAAAAATATAGTACTACTGCCATTATCATTATCATTTTCCACAAACCTTTATTAGCCCAATAAGCAATAAAGTGTATTTTTATGCAAATGAAATTGAAAAAAATACACCCGAGAGAGAAAAAAAGTTAAAATTTTTCGAAAATTAATAAAAATTTTATTTATTTTCATAGTCATTAACAATTACAAAAATATTTATCATTCAAATAAACATTTTACCATGCATTAAAAAAAATTAAATTGTTTATTATTTTCTTTTCTAATTATTTATTATATTTTACAGTCAAGAAGGTTGGTTTAGCGAAGGATATGACTATCATAGTACGAGAAATGATGAATCGAGAATTTATAGTGACACTGAATATTATCCAAGCACAACAACAACTTCGTCCTCGAGAAAAAAAGGTAATGTTTATTCATTATTATTATTTAAATAAATAAGAGTAAAAGTCGTCTCAGAAAATTTATTTATTTACAAATACCTAAAGAATTAAATTAATTATAAAACAAACTTACAGGTCCTTATAGAAGGCCATCTTTGGAAAGACAAACCACTTTATATGATGAACATTTATATTACGATAACTACGTTACTAATGGAAAAATTGGAAAAATGAGTGCCACTTATCCCGAATGTCAAACGGATATCGGATATAACAAATATTACAATAATATTACAGGATATGTTTTTGAAAATGAAAGGTAAAATTATTTAAAATTTTTTATCTATTTGAAAATTTTAATCTTTATACACAATGACCCTTGCCGTTCTTTCTGACCTTCTTGGCTTTAGTTCTTGCTAGAGTCTTCTTGGCTTCCTCGAGGGTTGACCTAACGACTCTGCATGCTCCACTACCAGCGACGTGGTTGAGAGGAACCTTGTCGCCGAACTTCGCTTTACACAAGAAGCAACTGGGGCTGCTCTTGCAATCTGCAAACTTATGATCGGCTTCTCCGCACTTAAAGCACGCAGCCGATCTGTCTGCTTCCTTGCAGGTTCATGCTAAATATTCGTAACCCAGGCATTGGTGACATCGGACAACCATGACTGTTTTTTATTTGGCAGCACATAAAGCCAATCTTTATGCCCCCCAAATTCCTCCAGTCTGGCAGCCTCTTCTTGGTTGGTGACAACAACTGCGAGCTTCATCCCTCGCTTGTTGGGTCCTAAGACCGTCACCTCCCTGCTTCCTGGCTTTCCGAGTTCTCGGTCCAGCGCTTCCTGGACTTCTGCTTCATGGGTAAGAAAATCCAGGTTGCGGATGTCAAGTGTAACCTTCCGACCCACCGTCTGCACCTTACCCATGCTGCCAACAGCCTTAATCATCTCGGCGGTAAATAATACTTTGTCCGAGTCACCTCCGACCCTGATCAAGAGGTCTCTTCTTTTGAGGGCCTTGCCCCCAAGACTCTCCTGTGGCTGGTGTCAGGATTAACTTCCTTGCGGAGCTTTCCCAACATATCAGGATACGTCTTACCTGAAACGACTCGGATGATCTTGGACTGCTTCGGCTTCGGTGCCTCCGCCACCTTGACATCCTGCCTCAATGGAGGTGCTTCCTCCTTTTTCTTTTTTACTTCGGCTTTTATCTCTTCCGGACAGCCGGTACTTAGTTTCTTCTTTTAAGCCTCCATGATCGCGCGTCGAAGACGTTTCTCATGGATACGCTCTCTCTTGTTCGTCCAGTTCTCCCGGTTGCATGCTGCATAGCCTAAAGCGGAGTTCAATTTCACATCTCCTTTATCAGATTCTGCTTCGACAAATTTACAAGGTCCTGAAGAATCTTTAATCCATCCTTAATAGTTCCATTAAGATTCTTCTGGGTGTCGCAAGATTTCACTATCTTGACGACCTCCTCTTCGATCTTCAGAAGGAACTCAAATTCTACCTTCCTCAAACTGACGCCTATTTTGCGTTCCTTGTTTATGGCCTCGTTGTCTAGATCAGACGGAATCAAAATTAACACAAATTTAAAGAAACAGTTGTCAGGTGAGGTTAATTCTGGTTTACTTCCCTTCGAGTTCCATTAACCCGCGGCGAAAGTTTAACGATTCTCTACCGATTTTCTTAATTTAATAATTTCCTAAATAAATATTTATAATACAATTTTACTAAGAATTCCTAGGAATAAACTACTAAATCTATTAATTTTTCCGAATAGTTCCACATTAGCGGCGCTAGTGTTCCTTACACAATATAGAAATAGTATATTTCTTGACAAAGTCTAACTACCAAACTATGATGTTATTTATAGAGATGAAATTTACAAAATGTAATATTTTGTAGGTTTGGTCAAGATGACGAGGACAGACAATGGGACAGTGGAGGGCAGTGGTTCACAGCATCCAGTACCTATTATGAAAATAAAAGAAACAGAAAAACTCTTCCTCAGAGACCTGCATCTAGTATTGGTATTCATAGGCCCGACTATAGACCTACTGTTACCAGACAACGTAGCTACGAGTCCGAAGAACTCGAGTATAGGTAAAAAAAAACTATTCCAATTTTCTCAATCAATTTTGTATTCTCCGACCGAAATAAACTAAAATTTTCTTATTCGCAGCCCAAGTGCCCGTCAAAGGAAAATGTTACAACGCTCATTTTCACGTCAAGAAGGAACCGGAAAGAAATTACCCCCTACCCCATCGAAACCGAGTAGCGTAATTCTCGGTCGCAAACCTGCCTCTCTTCCTGCGACTCCCGGAAGACAACTGCCACGTACGAGAACTCCTTCAGAGGATAGTTACTATAAGTCCGAGTACAACGAGAATTATAATCACGCCTATCGTAGTGATGATAATCTACAGCAGGAATCCTTTACCGACACAATTTATCCCGATCAATTGTACAATCAGACGCATATCAGCGGTTCATTACGAGATAATCAGTATGTACCTGATCATTTTCAGCCACAAGTTTCGGATCAATATGGCCAAAGCTATCAGGATTCAACGACAAAGGATCTCTACACACAGGGACAACAATCATACGCACAGAATTCGTACAAGGATCCCTATCAAGCGCCCTACTTAGATACAAATACACAAATTTATCAAGAGCCTTATCAAGACATAACATATCCAAAAATTAGTACAGCCAACGATCAATATGAAAAGCCACAAGATATTGCGATGTCAAATAATTATCAAACAATGGATTATGATCAAAATAACATTCAACAATTAACAGCAGCAACAACACAACAAAATCTTATGCCGCAGGATCTTTTACCACAACAAGTACCAACAAGCCAACAATATCAACAAGATTACACAATAGATAATTTCCAAGAAGATTATTCCGATTATACAACGTCTGTTGCCACAAGCCTTTACAACAACACCTCCAATGCCTACGATCCCTATCAACAAAATATATGCGACAACAAATATCAGGTTCCTATTTCCGATGCCTATCAAGATACCTACGATCAACCTGCCGTTTCCATTTCCCAAGAGGGTTACAGCGATACATACCCAACACACGACACTTATTTAGAGAAACAAGATTACGATAAATACATACCCTACAGCAAAAGCGAAGACACAACGGATTATCAAAATCAATATCAAGATTACACGGAGCAATACGATGATACCTATCAAGACTCCTATCAGGGCTCATTTGAAGAATACAATAAAGAAAATTTAACAGTCAGTAATGAGAGGAGAAAAAGTGAAGTGCCTGAATTGTCTGTCACTACGCCTAGAGGACAGACAAGAACAAATGGTTATCCTTCAAGTGAATCGGAATATTATCCCTGTCAGGAGAAACAGACAATATCATCAACTGGCGCTGCAAGAAGAAAAAAATTAGTTAAACGTGGCACTAGTCCTCTATTTCAACAAAATACCGATTCCCTTGAATCGCGTGACGATGAACTTAAAGATTCGTTTGAAACTGCCGTTAGTTCAGTGAGTAGTAGTCAACCAAGAAAAGCCTATTCTGAATATTCAACTGCAGGTGAATCGAGTCCAGCTCCAGCGACATTAGTTGAATCACCACCAAATTCTGTTCAAGTTTCAAATGGTATGATGATGATGAATCATGTTACAAATCATAGCAATACTATTACTACCTCAGCGTCTGTTTATCCCTCCATTAGTGCAAATGGTAAACGTCTCTCTAGAACTGATTCTTATCAACAAGATATAATAGAGGATGAATATCCAGAAATAATAACTAACGATCTTCAAAGAAAGGATTCACAAATGTCACATCAAAGTCAATTGAGTCAACAATCGTCGCAACAATCACAAAAACCAAAACTTACAAGAGGTGAATCATATGCTTCTGATCAATATTCAGAGGATGATTATACGGATAGACGGGATTCTTATGCACAACCAACACGAAAGGATTCTTATGCTTCGATAAATCAGGATAGTTTTAAACCACCACTTCAAAGGACTGAATCCTATCAGAGTCGGGAGCTCGGAAGGGGTAGTGTTTATGGCCAGAATTTCACAACTCCACAGCCAATTTCAAGAGCTGAAAGTTATAAAAGGGGGTATTTCAAAGATCAAGACTCGATGGATAAGACTGAAATTTCGTTGAGCAATGCTGTTAATGGGGATTACAAGATGAGAGACGAGACACTTGAGAGGTATGGTTGTATTATGTTTTTTTTATATAATTACAATAAAGTTCTGGTTTTTTGAGATTTATTTTTGTTGAACATAAATCTGACTTGGAAAAATTTATAGTAGTATAAATACGTCTCATGATAGGAATTTTTAAATGATTTACAAATTTCTTTTTTCTCAAATAATCTGCATTAAATTCCTCACAGTTGCGGAAGAAGCGAATTTTAATTTATTGAAACTCTCAATTTTTGGGTCAATTTAACTGACTGATGGAAAAGATTCGGGTATCGTAACCAAATCAAAACGAAATTAAAAAGTAATTTTACTTTATTTCAGGAATCAGAAGCAAATGGTAATTCTAATTCATCTAATTCTGATTTTAAATCCTAAATTAAAACTGAAAAAGGTTTTGCTTCCAATTCTGATTCATGGAATCAAAACAAAATTCAAAAACAATTTTGTTTTGCTTCTGAGCGGAATATCAGAATCAAAAGCCAATTTTGTTTAGTTTTTATTCAGGTACCTCAAAAATTAACTTACTTTTAATTCAGTTTGGTGAATAAAACAAAAGTAGAATGTATTTTTGATTCCGTTTGGTTGACGAAATGAAAATCTGTCAGATTACTTCCGGTTCTTTGATTCAAATAAGAGAATTCGAATTTTGTTTCGTTTACTGCACAGAATCAAAAGTAAATTATACTTTCGTTTCGTTCAATAGACGGAATTAAAAGTACATTCCCATTAATAAGAAGCGAGGAACTAAGAAGAATTGAGAATTTTAAATTCTTTTGAATTTCGTTTCTTTCAAATTCTTTTGTATCCATTTGAAATAATTTAGAATAAGCTCAATTTAATTTTGATTTCGTTTCGATATTTGTAACGAAAGGAAAATAGAACCCAGTAGGAAACGAAAAATTAAGAAAAATTGAAAAATTTTGCTTTTCATAGAAAATAATAAAATAAACAATGTTTTTGAATTCCGTTTCTGTTCAATTGTTTTTTTTATTCTCTGTTGGGACTAAGTTTCAAAATACTTTTTTCTCGAAACACTGTCACTTTTTATAAAATCAGCCAATATACAAAGGACTCTTATCTTATAAATTTCCAAAATCCGAAGAATTGTGCGAATTAATGCCAAAACGTGATTGCAAAATTGGAAACAGGAAAGTAATATGACAGTCAGTAGGAGGTTTATTACGTCTAGTCGCCGTCAGATGGCAGAAGCATGCAGGGAGCACGAAGTCGCAGATGTCATTATATTACTGTCCTTTTTCCAATTTTGAAATCGCATTTTTGCATGAATTTGCACAATCTTTCAGATTTTAGAAATTTATAAAACAAAGATCCTTGGTATGTTGTTTAATTTTGTAAAAAGTGTCAGTATTTCGAGAAAAAAGTATTTTAAAATCAATGTTTATTATTTTCACGTTCAGTGCCATTTTTTTATATTGGGAGAATAAAAGGTCTCTCTTTGCCAAAGAGTTTCAAAGACTGTTTAAGAGCATTTGAACCTTCGTGACGTCACAAATCGTGGCGCATGACACGCAAACTTCTCAGGTATGTGAAAAGCACAATTTTGAATATTTTTTAAAAAAACCTTTTGGAAAATGTCCAGAATAACATAGACTCTGTCTGTTATGTGCGGAAAATTCAAAATTTTGCGTTTAAAACGTTTTTTAAACAATGTTAAGGTCACAAATCATGGCGCATGACACGCAAACTTCTCAGGTATGTGAAAAACACAATTTTGAATATTTTTTAAAAAAACCTTTTGGAAAATGTTCAGAGAAACATAGACTATGTCTGTTATGTGCGAAAAATTCAAAATTTTGCGTTTAAAACGTTTTTTAAACAATGTTAAGGTCACAAATCATGGCGCATGACACGCAAACTTCTCAGGTATGTGAAAAACACAATTTTGAATATTTTTTAAAAAAACCTTTTGGAAAATGTTCAGAGAAACATAGACTATGTCTGTTATGTGCGAAAAATTCAAAATTTTGCGTATAAAACGTTTTTTAAACAATGTTTAAGTTGGTTGTCACAAGTAAGGAAAAATACACGAATTGCTTATATGTAGGCATTGTTTAAAAAACGTTTTAAACGCAAAATTTTGAATTTTTCGCACATAACAGACAGAGTCTGTGTTATTCTGAATATTTTCCAAAAGGTTTTTTTAAAAAATATTCAAAATTGTGTTTTTCACATACCTGAGAAGTTTGCGTGTCATGCGCCATGATTTGTGACCTTAACATTGTTTAAAAAACGTTTTAAACGCAAAATTTTGAATTTTCCGCACATAACAGACAGAGTCTATGTTATTCTGAACATTTTCCAAAAGGTTTTTTTAAAAAATATTCAAAATTGTGCTTTTCACATACCTGAGAAATTTTACGTGTCATGCGCCATGATTTGTGACGTCACGAAGGTTCAAATGCTCTTAACACTCTTAATTAATAATAATTATATTTTTAAAAATATGCGGATACATCAGTGACAGGATAAGGTTAGACATATTTTTCATGTAAATAAAAATTACAAGCAGTTGATAAAGTAAATGATCGTGGAAAGATAAAAGTTAAATAAAAATTCAAATGTGTATCGTCAAATGAGCGACATTTCGTTGGCTAAGATTTGCCAACCTCATCAGGCTAAAATTAAACAGATAAAAACACTTTAATATTTTTTAAGGTCTTTAATCACTATTTTGTAGCAAATAAAAAAATTTTTTGTACCTAATTTTTGTCAATACATTAAGTACATTTTAACATATCAAAAAAATCATATTATAACAAACTGGTATCAAAAACCAACTTCATATCTGACCGACTTATCAATTATTTTTCAAATCATCCAATCCAACAAAAAAAGAACATTGTGTATAATTTATTTGACAGAGCGATTTCATTGTCCAATAAAAAATTACATTTTGACAACATGAAAAAAATAAGAACAATTTTAAGTAATAACAGCTATCCTTCAGATTTTATAGAAAAACACATCAAGATTCGTTTAAACCATTAAAAATAATTAATAATAATAATAATAAAAATGGACCTAATATTTATTGTCCCTTGAATGAAAAATATTTTTTCAATTTGTCAAATATTCTTAAAGACAAAACGATCATTACAAACTCACATAAATAAAAATAAAAAAAAATGATAACTCTGTAGTTTACAGATATCAAATTGATCTTAATCATGATTTTGACTGGGAAATGTAAAAGTATTGGTCAATGAACCCAATTTAATGAGGAGACGAATATCTGAAATGATCCATATAAAAACAAATCATTCTACAATTAATAGAAAGGAAGATACTTTTACTCTAAACAAAACCTTCTTTCTTTTACTTAAAGGCATGGCCACGTGCCTATAAAGAAAAACAGCAAGATAATTTACACCTCATGTCAAAAGATGTTTATATTTTAGGTTATTGACTTTCATCATGTGTCAATTATTTGTCTTAGATGAGCAAAATTATATTTTATTTCAGTTGAAAATGAACTGCTGTTTAGAAATTTCTCTAATTACAAGAGCATTTTTGTTGAAACTGGATAGGTTATTTGGAAGTAAAACACGTATAAGATGAAAGATAAGAAATTGTAACAGATAAATTAAGACTTTATTGAACAATTATAATGTTAATTTGACAGACGTAGAATTGACTTTAATGTAGATTCTTTACTGAATTCTTTAAGTGAGCCGTACAAACTTTAATGCTATCCGCAGTACTATAATAGCACGACTGACATAATTCTTCAACCCGGAATTGCACTCAGGTACCGTTTTCCCTTTCCACCTGAATTTTACTTAAAACCTTAAATATTTATAAATATCGTTGTATCTCCAACAATTTTTAATTTTATTCTTTTCATATAAATTAACATTTCCTTTTTTATTAAAATGTATAGGATGATTTTTTAATAATTTTTTTACTAAAAAATTTTTATTTTTTCTTGTACCATAGATGCCTTTTTAGAAACACTTTGTATTCGTTTTTCTGAGATACTTGAAGTGATTGAGAAATCAGGTCAGATTCTTGTTCAGTGATACAAAAAATTAAAAAAAAAAATGTTTTAAGGATTCAAGAAATTCTTAAATATCAAGTATTACTAATGTTCTATTATTTTTATTTTACAAAATTAGGTATGAAAGAGGAGAAGAAGCCCTGCTAAGAGCCTCAAGGGAAAATTCTTTGGTCGAACCTTATAAAGGGTCACCGACATCAGGTAGTCCAAGAGGTAAATATTTCTCTAAGTAAATTAATTTCTAAATTAAAAAAATTACTTCAGCGTAAAATTTTCAAACATTTATTGAACTATTGAAATATGATAATGAGAGAAGCCTTCACTGGAAATTGATTGAAATAATTTTTAATCAAAATTTTTGAATCAAAGCTGAATTTTTCTATATATTTTAATAAAATAAATTTAATAAATTATAATTTTAAATTTATTAAACTATATGTTAAAAAGTCTCCACAAATTTTCACTGAAAACTTTTTTATAAAAGATATTTTATAGTTATTCAATTAAAATTCCTGGAATCTTTCCGCTCAATTTTCGAAACATTGTGGTGAAAAATTTCTTGTAAATATCAGGCTATCTGGGTTAATCACATTAAAAGCAATAGTACAATATGCAGAGAGAAAAAACGTAATCTTCATTCGCTCGGAATGATATTTTACGATAGCCATCGCTTTTTTTTCTCTCTCTCTCTCTCTCTTTAAATTTTCTCAATTCTAAACGGAAATTTTTAATTAAAGAGGAAAATATATATTAAAACATTGCCTTTGTATTTGTATTTTTTACGTTAAGGAGAATGGTGGCCGTAACATAATCTTAAAGTAAAAAAATAGTTTTTAACATAAACAAAAATATTAGAAAAATTAATTTTAATACAATTTTGAAAGATTTTGTTTTATACATTTCAGAAAAAATGATATCAAGTTAAAATCTTTCGTCAAATAATGTATTTTGGAAAAAATTTTGGTGCATCAGATGCGCAATGTATGGTAGAACTGTTGTACTATGGGTTGCGGGCAACTGTTATCCTGATTTGGCGCGTCAGAAGCGCTGTAAGGGACATCAGACGCACTGTACGGGACATAGATTGCACCAAACCGGGATAACTGATGTCCCTTTTTAAAGTACAAAAATTTTTTAACTAACCAGTACAATCGGTGCACCAAAATTTTTTCCGTGTAACAATTTGATTTTTTTTCTTTTAGCTCAGACAAAAATCGTAATTTTTATCAAATTATAAACAACAGCTACTTTTATTCATTGACGTATCCTATGTATTTTCAATTTTGTTGAAAATATTTTGTTAAAAAATTATTTAATAAAAACCTTTTTATTTGTTTATAATATTTCAAGAAGTAAAGTAAGCTATTGTTTATCAAAATTAGATAAAAATTGCGATTTTTGTTTAAGTTGATAGAAAAACATCAAAATGTTAAATAACATTATTTAACGAAAGATTTTGACTAAAAATTATTTTTTCTAAAAAGTGTTTAAATATATTTTCCAAAATTGATTAAAATTAATTTTTATTATGTTTTAGTTTGCGTTAAAAACATGGTTAAAAAGCATTTTTCAATTTGATGTTATGTTATGGTCACCATTCTTCTTAAGAATTAAATCGATTCAATTCTTATCTTTCTCGTTTTAAATCAGTTTAACATTTAAAAAAATCAGTTTAAGATTAAAGATGTCAATAAACAAACTAATTTATTGAGAGAATTATAAATATTTATAAACAATAAGATGGGCGATGTGTATAATATATATAATATAAATCATTCAAGATTAAAATTATTTTTTCTAAATTGTTCATAACTAATTTCATAGAATCAAGTTAAATTTATTTATCAATTAATTAATTTACTTAAAAAATACAATTAATTTAACTTTTATAAATTATATAAATTTTTTTTATTTTTAGAATAAAAATTATTGTTATTATTTAATAATACAGATTTTATATTTTAATATTTTTATTAATTTCGAATCATATAATGTATTTTCCTTCAATGGTCTTCTTGACTATGGGTTCAATATTTTGTTAAAACTAAATAAAAAAAAATTCAATTAATTTAAGTTAATTTTAAAAAATTTGGTTATAAAAATAATAAAATACTTTAAATATATTTATGTTAAAATAAACAATGACAAAACTTTTCATGTAGATTTAAATTCAAAATAAGACATCAAAAATCGACGCCTCCCGTTGATATAATTGTATTTCAATTTTCAAAACTATATAATCGTAACTCGGAACTCAGTTTAATATGAACGTAGCTCATTTTCCGTAAAATAAAAACGTATCTCAATTTCCGTTTAATGTAATCGAGGAGTAAATTTTCAAAATCTGATAAATCCATTTTTCAAAAAAATGGGGATAAACATAAATTTAATATTTTAAGGACCTCACAAATCTTCCTGTCGCTGTTAAATTTAAGAAAAGAAATTTGTTAACAACGAATTTTTTAATTCAAAAACTTTTGGACATAACCAAGATGAGTTATAATTTTTATGTTTTTTATTAGAAAAAATTATCAATACCTGTAAATCATTAAATTATGATAAAGTTTAATTAAAAACAGAACGTCTTGAATATAAAAACACATTGTTATAGAATTAAACTATTATAAATTATATATTTTAAAAGTAACTACAGTGGTTATGTGATAAAAGTCATTTGTTTCAATTTCTGGAAATAAGAAAATATGGATTTATCAGGTTTTGAAAATTTGCTCCTCAATCGTATCTCAAATTTTAATACATAATAATATAATACTATAATTGATTTTATCTAATTTTGATAGATTACATTTTTTTTAAACTAAATATTATTTAAATAATAAACTAACAAATTACAATGTTTACTAACTTAAAAAACAAAATGTTGAAGAATCATTATTAAATAAAAAATGTCAAAAAATAATATTTTTTGGTAATTATATAACTGGATTTTTCGAAAATTAGTGAATTCAATTTTAATTAAAATTTTATTTTGGTGATAAATTCAATTTTTAGTTTAAGATTCAGTCAAAGGATTAAACTGCACCTCAAGTTGGAAATAAAATTCAATTTATGATTATAGTAATACAATTATAAGTAATAGAATATTGTATTATAATATTTATTATTAACATTGTAGGAAGTGTAACAAAACAAGCATCTTTGGATGAGAGTGTACAAATGGATACGCCACCAAGAAGCCCTCCGGAACCTCTTCCTGATGAAAAACTTTTGGAAATGGTGGGACCAGCTCCAATTCCTCCACAACTCAAAGAAAGACCAGAGATGACTGCAAAACAAAGGTGGATTTGGGCCTACACTAAAATCATCCAGCAGCTAAACGTAAGTACTCTATAAAAATTATTATTTAAATTTTATTCACAAACAAGTCTTTAACTAATTCATGATTTAGATTTAATCGCATATCAAAAGTGTCACTATTTCTAAAAGGAGACACACACAAAACCTATTTATTTTCTTTTTCGTTTTAATGTGGTTTTTTAAAATAGTGTTTTATATTAAAAATTATTGAAGACACACTGGCATAATAGAAATTAAGAACTCAGCGGGATCAAAAATATAAATGTTTATTAACTGAATATTATAATTGTTACATGAAAATTCGTGTGTACGCTATGGTTTCTTAAGAGAGACTGGCCTCACCAGCACTATTTTTTATCCCCTCCCTAACTTCCGGTACTCTAGTGCTATAAAACTCCGCGTAATAAATTTGAATTTAAAAATAATATTATTAATCGCCTTCATTATCATACCAAAAGATTTTGATAAAAAATGTTGGTCATAGACAAAATGTTTCATTGTTGAATTTGTGTTTCATTTTCAACTCTACCTATAATCGAGAAAAAAATTATTTACAATTAATTTAATTAAATAAAAATTTTTTTCATTAAAAATAAATTAATTAATTTCAATTTTTATTCATAAAAATTTAACATTAGTAAAATATCTGTATTAAAATTCTATCAATGAAAAACTGGATGTCAATAACCAAGTTTGACCTTCCTAAAAATGCGATATTCGATCAAATACCCGCATATTGTTCAACAATGTCAAAACTAACATTGTTGATCTTTGCCTTCAAATGCCACATGATTTCGATTAAATGCGTTATTCGCACTAATTCATTAGAGAATTGAAAGATTATAATTTTTTTTTCTCACAGTCATTATATATATATATATATATATATATATATATAGGTATTTCAAGTTCATATGAATAATAAACTATTTCTTAATTTTTATTACGATAAATAAGACGCTTGTGCTCTCTTGTCACGGAATTCCAAGATCCATTAAATCATGACAAAAATCATTAAATTAGAAATTTAATAATTCAGAAAATGTTTTGGGAATGGTCATAACACAAACAATTATTGATGGAGAAGAAGGGTCAATAATACATTTTTATAATAAACACACATTTTCTGAGAGAGAAAACACATAATCAAAACATGTCATAAAATAATGTAACACTTCAAAGAAAATGCATAAAGAAATTCAGCAAAGGAAATTCAATTTAATAAAAGAAAATGGACGATAGCATCACAAAAATACAAAAATTGAAAATAAAAAAAAATAAAAAATTCTTTGCTGAATTTTTAAATAGGAAAAATTCTCTTACCAGAAAACAATATAAATGAATAGCCAACGCAATTACTACTATATAAAAGTTAAATTTTTTAAATAATTTTAGACCCACAAAAAATATAACTTCTCTCTTCGGAGGTTGCTGACAAAAGAGGACGATGAATATATTTTTCTAATTTTAGTAAATTTCGTTGTCATGAGGTTTCCATGCACCGGTATTCATTTGTCTTCTGCTAGTAAACATATTTTCATGTGTTGATCCAGGGACGTATTGTAAGGGTATTTTTGGGACCCCCCTTTTTATTCCTTGATAATAATGATTTATTATTCAATCCAAATGTTATGAAAGTAAAATAAATAACCCAAAACTCTTTCCTCCATTCTCCTCTATAATATTATGCTGTCAAGACTATGTCACAAAACATAACGGGACTAAATCCAAAAAATTTTCTTAAATCTCGATAGATAATTATTATGTTTCAATAGATAATAAGCGTCCCAATAAAATTATAATTTCCCACGATGATTCGTTGAGCAGGAATCAGGAAACGAATTTTACATAAGTGAAATAAATTTACAAAATTAATAAAGAAATTTAAAATTAATTAAACTAAATCAATCTTAGAATATCCGCTGCAACCTAAAAATATTTAATAAAATTTATAGAAACCGAATAAATAAAATTTATTTAATTAATTTTTGAAAGCAAATAAAAATTTGTAAATTGTGAAATTAATAAACATTTTAAAACGTCACAAGGTTATCATCAAACTAAAGAAATAAGCTGTGCTTAAATAGAGTGTTAGTGTCGTTTATAAAAAGTAAAAAAAATAGAAATCCAACATTCGATACCATGGAGTAGTATAAGGAGACCGAACGACCATGTTAAGGGTATGTGGGCAAAGGACGTTTTTTTGTGGTTGGAAACTTACTCTGAAATAAAAAATGATTTTGGGTTAAAATTTTGGAGAAATGATTTTGTTTGGTATAAGGAATCTCGCTGTTCTACTCATTTACCATAACTTAACGCAAAAATAATAAAAATAAAGCAATAAGTAGTAAAATAATGTATTATATCATAGTTCATTCAGCGGCCAAAAGCTCGAATTGGCGCTGTTTACTGAAGCACTGACACACTCAAACAACGTCTGTGTATGCGCCGCCATCTTTGTTTTCATTTTCGTTTAAAAATGACACTTTTTAAACTTCATTTTTTAATAATTTTACTCAAAATTATGTATTTTTCGGAGAACAGCGAGATTCCTTGTACCCTAATCTATCATCCCTCAAAATTTTAGACAAAAATCTTTTCTCATTTTAGAGAAAAACGTATACTACCAAAACACATTTTCCCATACTAGGTCACGTGGGAGGTTCCCACATAACCTTAAATCTGCGTTAAAAGTGGACCAAATTTTGGTAACCGCTATAGTGTCATGAAAATACGTAATGGAACACTAGCGCCACTGATTGTGTTAAACTCAGCTGGACAGTCAGCCATTGTAAAAGTTTTAATAATACGGAGCAATGTATTTTTGGGTTATGTTCAACGTACTTCTAATTTTTCCCACTGTTTACATACTTCCCACGAGAGCGCTTGTGTTCCATTACGTATTTTCATGACACTAAACAGTTACCAAAATTTGGTCCACTTTCAATGTACGTCGTTCTGTCACCTTATACTACTCCATGATTCAATACCTAGGTTACACCAGAAGTTGCTAAAAAACAATTGAAAATTCATGCTCAACACGCACTGACGAATATCATGGAATAGCATGTTCAACCTTATCGAAGGCTTTTGCAAAATCAGTATAAATTGCATCGACTTGTATTTCCTTTTCAAGATTTGATGATAAAAAATTAGTAAACAATATTAAGTTAATCAAGACTGATCTACGTCTCATAAATCCATGCTGTTCATCAATTATCAAATATTCAATTTGCTCATAAATCATATCAAAAACAATACTCTCAAAGACTTTAGAAATTGCACTTAGTAATGTTATTGGACGATAGTTGATCACATTTTTCTTATTTCCATTCTTCAAAACTGGTACAATAATCCCTCTCTTCCATTTCAAATAGAAAAACTCCTGACGATAAAGATCGATTAAATAAGATATGTAGCGGATGGACAAAAAAAGAGCAACATAACTTTAAAATAGCAGAAGAAATGTGATCAGGACCAGCGCCTTTTAATTGTTCATTTAATATTCTTAGAATTTATCACTCCGAATTTATATTTTTTTGGTATGACAAAGACTTAAAGAAATTGATAATTTTTTTTCATTTTTAATTATTGTATTTTTCATATTTTTAGAAAATCAGGTTTATTGCTAATTTGTTAATAATTAATAATACTATTAATAATAGTATTATATTATTATTATAATTACAATAATTATAGTAAGAATATAATAATTTTGCAGATAATTATCAATCATTAAGTAATTTTTCAAATTTTTGTCTGCAGTAAAGCATTTTATTAAATATCAATAAAAAATTTTTTTTTAATAATATCTTAGTTGTTGAATAATTTAAGAATCATAGAACTATGTAATTTCAAAATAACTTCTGTTCATTTTAATTAACGATATTGAAGCAGACAGTTTCCTGTCATATTATATTACAAGCTAATTTAATAGAGAATATTTGACTGTATTAGAGAAATTTATATATCTACAATTTTATAAATTATGCACATTCCATCAGTAGATATTTATAAATTATTTTTAGAAAAATTAAAAGTTAACCAATTTTTAAAGTTTTTCTACTTTTGTAAAAAATTAAGAAAATTTAATTTTGATATTCTTATGAGAAATGCATTTTGTTATAAATTCATAATTTTATATAGCGAACAATTTCTTACTATTGTAATTATGGTTAGTTAAAATTTAATTTTATATAAAAAAAATTTATCTTCTTTTTCATTTTTTATTCTACTTTTATAAATTGAGATTTTTAAAATGTAATTTAATAAAAGAATTATTAAATTAAAAAAGTAATAGAGGATGGTCGAGGACTGGACTAATTAATAGTCCCAGAAACAAAACCGTGTGTATAATTTGAAATATTTTTATATTTTCTTTCCATTTGATATGTTTTTTTAGATTTAAGAAAGATTCAAGAAAAAATGTAATTCAAAATAAAAATTATTTATTCATTTTTCCAATTAAAAATAAATGTTTCATTTAATTTAAACAATAATAATGAAATTTATTAGAATTTTACAAAATAAGTCAAGAAATGCCACCCTTATTAAAATATTAAAAATATTTTATTTTAGTAACTTTTATTAATTAATATCTTGAAAACAAAAAAAGGACATTTTTTGTATTGAAAGTGTACCTACATTTAAAACATTATAAAAAAAATTTTTTTTTCTTTCCGGATCTGAGAAATTTTTTATTTTATTTGAATTACTTCTACAATTTTGCCCCCTAAATATTTTTAAAAATAGAATAAAATCCACTTGTACATTTGAATATTGTTGAAAATTAATCCAATTTAGAGATGAATTCGACTTTTTTTATGAGAACTCTCAATCTCAACTGAAAATACGTAGAGAATTCCTCCCCTTGAATGAAGAAATGTTGATTGGAATTGCAACTGAGAATGTCAGCTTACACGAAATGTCCATTAGCGTAGGCGTGTCGTCCCAGTAGATTCCAAAGTACGCACCTGATACTTTAGTCTGTCAAGTTTACCTCTGTTTCTCAAATATAGAAG